AAAAATACAAAAAATTAGCTGGGCATGGTAGCGCGTGCCTGTAATCCCAGCTACTCAGGAGGCTGAGACAGGAGAATTGCCTGAACCCGGGAGGCGGAGGTTGCGGTGAGCCGAGATCGCGCCATTGCACTCCAGCCTGGGTAACAAAAGTGAAACTCCGTCCCCAAAAAAAAAAAAAAAAAATTAGCCAGAGTGGTGGCGCATACCTGTAAGTCCCAGTTACTAAAGAGGCTGAAGTGGGAGGATCACTTGAGCCTGGGAGGTGGAGGCTGCAGTGAGCTGTGATGGCACCACTGCACTCCAGGCTGAGTGACAGAGCAAGACCCCATCTCACACACACACACACAAAAAGAACCTTTGTAACCATTGATGTGAATGTAAATTTGAACAGCTACTTTGGAAAACAGTATGACCTTTCCTCAAAATAAAATAAAATTACCATGTGATCCAGCAATGCTGCTTCTGGGTATATAGCCAAAGGAATTAAAATCAGTATGTCAAAGAGATGTCTGCACTCCCATGGTAATTGCAGCATTATTCACAATAGCCAAGATACGGAAACAACCCAAGTGCCCATGAATGGATAAATGGATTGTTTAAGTGTGGTATATATACACAACAGAATGCTATTCAGCCTTTAAAATGTAGAAATCTGGGGCTGTGCACGGTAGCTCACGCCTGTAATCCCAGCACTTTGTGAGGCCAACGTGGGTGGATCATGAGGTCAGGAGTTGGAGACCAGTCTGACCAACATGGTGAAACCCCGTCTCCACTAAAAATACAAAAATTAGCCAGGTGTGGTGGCGGGTGCCTGTAATCCCAGCTACTTAGGAGGCTGAGGCAGAAAAATCACCTGATCACGGGGAGGCAGAGGTTGCAGTGAACCGAGATTACACCACTGCACTCCAGCCTTTGTTCTGTTTGCTGCAGAACAAATTACAATAAACTCAGTGGATAAAGAATCTGAGCATGGTTTTACCAGATCTTCTACTTAGGGTCTCAAAAGTTTTATTCAAGGTGTTGGCCAGACTGCATTCTCATTTGGAGGCTCAACTGGGAAGAACCTGCTTCCAAACTAACACAACTTATTTGAGAATGTATTTCCTTGAGAATGTACTTTTGAAGACCCTGGCTTTTTATAGCTATTTGTTTGAGGCTGTTTGCAGATCCTACAGGGCACCCATCATTCCTTATCATGCGAGTTTCCTTAACATAGCTGCTAGCTTGTCCAGCCAGAAAGGACAATCTCTCTTGCTTCAGTCTACTAACATGGAATTTTATATAATGTAATATAATCACAAGAGTAATACTCCATCACCTTTGTCATTTTTTCTCGGTTAGAAGCAATTCACAGGTCCCACTTACACTCATAGGGAGGAGATCACATGAAGGCACAAACACCAGAAGGTGGAAAATCATTGGAGTTGGGGGTCACTGTAGGGATAGGGTCTATTTGTCACACAAGAAAGAGCCATATATTGTATATAGACAATCCAAACAGCTAAAATAGTCACAGGTATAATTGGAAAGAATCCCGGGTGGAGGCAGAAATCATGGGTTCTAGTCCTGGCTGCGTTAGTAACTTAGATCACATATACCCAGAATTGAAGTTCTCTGAACTTCAATTTCCTTAGTTTATAAATAAAATGAAGTAGTGGAAACAGCTTTGGATATTAATCAAATAAATGCATAGTAAAATATCATGGAGGCACTATAATTTACCTTTAGCAGAAGTTAGAAATGGTCCCACTAAAAGCTTGTGAGTTTATGGTAAAATTTGTATGCCCAGTTCTGAAGAGCAACCTGGCATACCTATCGTGCCATTAAAATGTTCATACCTGTGATGGTTAATTTTACATATCAACTTGATTGAGCTACAGGATGTTTAGATATTTGGTTAACTATTACATGTGGGTGTGTTTGCAATGATGTTTCTGGATGAGATTAACATTTGAATCTGTAGGCTGACTAAAGGAGATTATCCTTGCCAAGCTTGAGTGGACCTCATCTAATCTGTTGAAAGCCTGAATATACTAAAGGGCTGAACAAGAAAGAGTTACTTTTCTTCTGTCTCACTACCTTCGAGCAGGGATATTGGTTTCTTCCTGCCTACTCAAACATGAACTGGAACTCACTCCATTAGCTCTTCTGAGTCTCAGGCCTTTGGACTTAGACTGGAACTTACACCATTGGCTCTCCTGGTTCTCCAGTTTGCCAGCTGCAGATCGTAGGACTTCTCAGCCTCCATAATCATGAAAGCCAATTCTTTACAGTAAGTATTTACGTAAATATCATATTGGTTCTGTTTCTCTGAAGCACCCAGACTAATATGACATCCTTTGTCAAAGTAATCCCATTCCTGGGATTTTATACCACTAAAATGGAAAATTCAAAAGATTTGTGTGGAATAAGCTGTATGCACTATGTTATTAACTAGTGTTCTTTCTTTTTTTTTTTATTTTACTTTAAGTTCTGGGATACATGTGCTGAACATGCAGGTTTGTTACATAGGTATTCATGTGCCATGGTGGTTTGCTGCACCTAACAACCCGTCATCTAGGTTTTAAGTCCCACATATATTACGTATTTGTCCTAATGCTCTCCCTAGTGTTACTTCTGATAATGAAAAAGTGGAAACAATATACATGTTTAACAATTGGAGAATGGCTGCATAGATTATAGCACATCCACTTCGAAGAAAATTACGTGAGCATTAAACTAATAATCATGGAGAATACAGAGTCACAAGGGAAACACACGGGAAAGGGTTTACAATTAGATGTGAATTTAGTTTTTAAAAGCAGAACATCAAATTATATCAACACTACAGTAACAAGTAAGAAAAACTAAATAATGAAAAAAATCCATATGTTTGAGTCATGGCATTACAATACAATTTTTTTTTATAGCTTTCCTTTACCAATCTGACATTTTCAAGAAAATAAATAAAAAGTATAAAATAAAAACAAAGAGGGAGTTGAATTATCAGTGGTTCTTAACTGGAGTGGACTTTAGAATTTAAAAACACTATACCTAAGTTCAGCTTTGTGAAGATTGTGAGATGGGGTTGGGGCACCCATATACTTAAAACGCATACATACACAACACCCCACCCCAACCCACCCCTCCACACTGAAACACACAGGTGATTCTGATGCATATAGGTAGGCAAATTTTCAGTTTAAACTTCCACATGGAGAATAAGGGAGATACTCCAGTGAGAAGCTGGGCATTGCCTGCGAGGCACTGTGGGTGATGAAGACCAGGCTGTTCTTAGCATGCACCTGGACTGCTGCAGCCACTGTCTTCAGCATTTGTAGCTTGTGGGCATTCTGAGGCATCACCCTCTGGGCAGGTTTTCTCCACAAGGCGGAAGGCCTCCAGGAACTCATTGATATCGATGTGGCCATCTTTGTTGAAATCAATGCTCCGAGCAAGGTCACAGATGCAATCATCTGTAACGTCGATATTCATATGAGAGCTGAACAGCTTCCAGGTCTGCCTGAGCTCGTCCAGTGAGATAAACCCTTATCAGAGAGAGGAAATCACTTCAGTGCGATAGTCCAGTTTTGAATGTTCATTTCCTCGGACATTCTTACAAGGACACGTGCTCCCTACTGCTAAACAGAGAGACACCCAAAGTCTAGTATCTAGTTTAAACTCCCAAGAGAATCACACAAAACTCTGACTCACCAGTGATTTTTAGCTGGGAGCAATTTTGCTCGCCTCCCTCCTGGAGACATTTGGCAATGTCTGGAGCCAGTATTGTCTGTAATGGCTAAGATGGGGGTGAGGTGCTACTGGCATCTGATAAAGAAAGGCCAGATGTGCTGCTAACATCTTACAATGGACACGATGGACCCCAAAACAAAGAATTATCTAGCCCAAAATGTCAACAGTACCACTGCTGAGAAGCACTGCATTTAATCATCTCAGACATATGCTAATTTATTCTGGCCATTAAAATCCTTTGGACCCATACATCTAGAGTCAATTGATGTTTTACAGGGGTCCCAAGATCATTTAATGGGGAAAGAATAGTTCTTTCAACAATGATGGCGGACAAGCAGATATTCACATGTAAAAAGAGTAAAGTTAGACACCTACCAAACACTGTATAAAAAAACTAACTCGATATGGGTCAAAGACCTAAATGTAAGAGCTAAAACTATAAAACTCTTTGAAGCAAACATAAATGTAAATCTTTGTGACCTTAGATTATGCAACAGTTTTATAGCTTAAAAAAAGCGATAACATCAAAAGCGTAAAAAACAACAACAAATAAATTGGACTTTTTCAAAATTAAGAACTTTTGGGCATCAGGCTGGGCGCAGTGGCTCATACCTGTAATCCCAGCACTTTGGGCAGCTGAGGCGGGTGGATCATGAGGTCAGGAGTTTGAGACCAGCCTGGCCAATATGGTGAAACCCTGTCTCTACTAAAAATACAACAATTAGCTGGGTGTGGTGGTGGGTGCCTGTAGTCCCAGCTACTCAGGAGGCTGGGGCAGAAGAATTGCTTGAACCCAGGAGGCGGAAGTTACAGTGAGCCGAGATCGCAACACTGCACTCCAGTCTAGACGACAGTGAGACTCAGTCTCAAAGACAAAAAAACCCAAAAATTTTGGGCATCTACGGACATTACCAAGAAAGCAAAAAGACAATCCACAAAATCAGAAAAAAAAAATTGCAAAGTATATGTTCGATAATGTCCTAGTATCCAGAATATATGAATAATTCTTACAAATCTAATAAAAAGACAAATAGCCCAATTTAAAACTGGACAAAGGATTTGAATAGACATTTCTCCAAAAGAGATATACAAACGGCCAATGAACACATGAAGATGTTCAACATCGTTAGTTATTAAGGAAATGCAAGTCAAAACTATAATGTGATACTTTACACCCAGTAGAATGGGTATAATAAAAACTAAAAAAAAAAAACAAAAAACCCACGAAAAACAAAAATAGAAAATCACAAGTGCTGGTGAGGATGTAGAGAAATTGGAACCCTCATACATTGTTGGTGACAATATAAATAGGCACAGCCACTGTGAGAAAAAATTTGGTAATTGCTCAAAAAGTTAAACATAGAATCACCATATGACCCAGCAGTTACACTCCTAGGTATATACCTAAGAAAACTGAAAACATATATTGACACAAAGTCACACATGAATGTTCATAGAAGCATTGTTCATAATAGCCAAAAGTAGAAACAGACCAAATGTCTATCAACTAATGACTGTTGTCATTAGTAAATAAAAGTTTTGTCCATGCAATGGAATATTATTCAGCCATAAAAAAGGAATGGAAAAACTGATACTGCTGCAACATGGATGAATCTTGAACATATTCTAGGTGAAAGAATCCAGACATCAAAGGCCATATTTTGCATGATTGCATTTATATCAAATGTCCAGAATAGGCAAATCCATAGAGACAGAAAGATTAGAGGTTGCCAGGTGGAGGAGGGATAGGGAATGAGGAGTAATTGCTAATAGGTATGAGATTTCTTTCTGGGGTGATTAAAATGTTCTAAAATTAGATAGCGGTGATGGTTATACACACTTGTGACTATACTAAGAACCACTGAATTGCATATTTTAAACAGGTTAATTATATGGTTTGTGAAGTGTACCTCAAAAAAAAAAAAAAAAGAACAACCCAGTAATAATGTTGAGAAAAAGCCTTTGGACCATTGGGAGAACAGAATGAGAATATACAGGAGCTCAGTGTACATTTTTAAAATAACTTCCTGTGAATCTATAATTACTTCAATTTTTTTTTTTTTTTTTTTGAGACAGAGTCTTGTTCTGTTGCCAGGCTGGAGTACAGTGGTGCAAACTTGGCTCACTGCAACCTCCACCTCCTGGGTTCAAGCGATTCTTCTGCCTCAGCCTCCCGCGTAGCTGGGACCAAAGGCGAGTGCCCCCATGCCCAGCTAATTTTTGTATTTTTAGTAGAGACGGGGTTTCACCATGTTGGCCAGGATGGTCTTGATCTCTTGACCTTGTGATCCGCCTGCCTTGGCCTCCCAAAGTGCTGGGATTATAGGCATGAGCCATGGCGCCTGGCCAATTATTTCAATATTTAATGTTAAAAAAAATATTTTGGGAGTGAGATTGCAAACGCCTTTCTGTTCTAGGCACTTTTCATTACTCTGTGGCTATCCTTGATGGAACTGTAAAGGATATCACATCTTTTTTTTTTTTTTTTCTTTTTTTGAGACAGAGTGTTACTCTGTCACCGAGGCTGGAGTGCAGTGGCATGATCTCAGCTCACTACAACCTCCACTTCTGGGTACAAGCAATTCTTCTGCCTCAGCCTCCCAAGTACCTGGGATTACAGGTGTGTGCCACCATGTCCGGCTAATTTTTGTATTTTTAGTAGAGACTGAGTTTTGCCATGTTGGCCAGACAGGTCTCAAACTCTTGACCTAAGGTGATTCACCCTCCTCGGCCTCCCAAAGTGCTGAGATTACAGGCAGGAGCCACTGTGCCCAGAGGATATCACATCTTCTAATAATTATTATTCCTTATAAGAAGCTGTCATTCAGTTTGTCTTCATTCTTCTCTGCCCCACCTCTTTCTCTATGGGCTGCTTATGCTACTCAAGTGCTTTACTGGTTTCTGCCATTTATAAGCACTAATCTTCTTACCTTGCTATCCACATGCCTGAGTGGAGATGAATGAGGATGAATCAGGAAGCAGACTAAAGGGTTTGAGGTAAAATACTTGCAGTGCATCAAAAGTGGTAGAATAATGAATGCTCTTACCTGAATGATCACTGTCTATGATCCTAAAAATGGTCTCCAGGTTGGATCGGTTTCGATACAGTGTTTCCAGCAAACTTGATTGTATGTTCTGCAAGAAAAATTTCATTTCCCTCCTTCATCATATGTTTAGGCTTGTTCCAATATATAATTAACACACAATCAACCCTGACGATCACACATTCTTGTAAAAATCTGAAAATATTTTGCCATCCCTCCATTCCCTCTACCCCGTTCAGTCCACCAAATAATCTAGTGGTTTAAGAGGCACCTCCTCCATGATGAAAATCTTCTAAAATTGACTGTGGTGATGGTTGCACATTCAGGTTATGTATCCCTTGGCTGAAACACTTGGGACCAAAAGGGTTTTGGATTTTGAATTTTTTTGAACATTGTAATATTTACCTGTACATAATGAGATATCTTGGGTGTGAGACCCAAGTTTTATTTGTTTGTTTTGAGAGAGTCTCACTCTGTCGCCCATGCTGGAGTGCAATGGCACGACCTTGGCTCATTGCAACTTCTGCCTCCCTAGGTTCAAGCAATTCTCTGCCTCAGCCACCTGAGTAACTGGAATTACAGGAGCCCACCACCATGTCCAGCTAATGATTTTTTGTGTTTTTAGTAGAGACAGGGTTTCACTATCTTGGCCAGGCTGGTCTTGAACTCCTGACCTCGTGATCCACCTGCCTCGGCCTCCCAAAGTGCTGGGATTACAGGCGTGAGGCACTCTGTCCAGCTGGGACCCCAGTTTAAACACAAAATTAGTTTTTGTTTCATATACACCTAGCCTGAAGGTAATTTTATAAAATATGTTTTAATAATCTTGTGCATTAAACAAAGTTTGCATAAACTGAACCATCAGAAAGCAAAGGTATCAGATGTGAAGTTTTTCACTTGTGGCATCATGTTGGCCCTCAAAAAGTTTTGGTATTTGGAGCATTTCAGTTTCTGTTTTTTTTTTTTTTTTTTAACAGAGTCTTGCTGTGTTGCTCAGACTGGATTGCAACGGCATGAACTTGGCTCACTGCAACCTCAAGGTTCAAGCGATTCTCCCACCTCAGCCTCCCAAGTAACTGAGTCTACAGGCATACGCCACCACACTGGCTAATTTTTGTATTTTTGGAAGAGATGGGGTGTCACCCTGTTGGCCGGGCTTGTCTCAAACTCCTGGCTTCCAGTGATTCACCCACCTCAGCCTCCCAAAGTGCTGGGATTACAGGCATGAGTCACCGAACCCGGCTGAATTGTACACTTTAAATGGATGAATTGCATGGTATGTGAATTATATTGCAATAACACTGTTAAAGAAAGTACCTAGCCCAAGGTTGCACATACATTACATATTCAATAAGTCATTATTAAATAAATGCTTTTGTAAGTAGGTTAAGCAGCATGGTGTTGAGGAAAGAAAATGGGCGTTGAGGTAGGACAGACCTTGGTTTGGGTCCCAACTTAGAAGTTCTATGTCTCAGGCAAGTTGCTAAATATGTACCTCTTGGAGTGGATTTGAGGGTTAACTGAGGCAATGTATGAAAACCACTTAACATAAAGCCTGACACACAGAAATTCAACAAATAGTTCCTCCCGTTTTTCACCATCCAGCTTTTTGGGTTATTACTAGTTGGTTGTTTCTCTCTAAGGAGTATCGTAGTCCACGCGCGCTCATCCATCATTGCCACACCATTACCTCACGGCTCAGTTGTTCCTCGGCCAAGTTCTTCAGCCAAGACTTGTACTCCAGCATGTTGCCTGCTGAGCTGTTCACCAGCTGTGGCCTCAGCATCCGCCACGGCAGTCCGAGATGCAGCACAGACTCCACCACTGCGGCCCAGTCACTCAGGGTGATTAAACCTACAGGAGAGAGCTAACTTGTTGACTCGTCACCTAGAAGTCTAGTTTCCTGCCCAGTGGTGTGGATATTTTAATCCTGACATCCTTCTTACTATCTGCAGGTAATAGAAATAATCGGCACTGTCCTATTTTTGTTGGTAGTGGCAGAGTTGGGGGAAGCGAGGCTTGCCAGGTAAAATACAAGATGTCTAGTTAAATTTGAATTCAAGACAGACAGTAAAGTATATATAAGTGCCAAATACTGCATAAAAATGTTTGTTGTCTATCTGTTTGTCTTAATTCAAACTCAATTAGGCATTTTACATTCTTGTTTACTAAATCTGGCAATACATCTGTAGGCCACAAAAGAGCTTATAAATAATATCATAAAACATTATATATCTACAGCATTGGTTATTTAAAAAAACTAAACCTCCTAAATTCCTTAGAATATATCATTCACTGAAACTCTTGGAAGGCTACAATATATGTATGTGAAAAGATATTGTTATGAATTCATAAATGTTACTGCGATTTTTAAATAGGGATATATTTAGTCAATATCCATTAGACATTCCATTTGTTGAACAGACAAAAATTTTGAGGTTGGATAAGCACACACTCAACTTCAACAAGTCAAGTGATTGGTCTTTTGCTAGTCTTAGTGATACTCTTAGAACTTCTCCCACTTGTTCGTTGCTTGGTTCTGGCCACGTTACCCTTCCCCTGACTCTATTTCATTTCACCCTCTCTATTTGGCCAAGTTCATATTTTGTTAAAAGCTTAGAATATTAAAATTTAGTTAGAATAAATGAGACATTAACTTGAATAAAATGGAGGATAAGCCAAAGGGGGACTTTGGTCACTCATTAAAGTAACAAATGTTTATTTGCTAACTAGTGTAAGACAGATTTTCTGGCTAGCTTCCTTCCTCTGTGAATCTTTAACTTGATCATTCTTACCGACTTTATCTACATCATGCTTCTTAAATTCGATGAGAAGATTTGAAGAATGAGCAAATAGCTTCTCCCTCAGAGCTCTCAGAGCCGACTCCTCCACTCTGCTAATCCTGGGACAGGAGATGAAAAGTGACGTTTTAACGAATTGGTATAGAAGAAATACTTAGATATTTCACTACATTTCTCCTCTCTCCTTCTTAACATATCAGTCTCCCAAGAGCTCAGTTTTTGAGGGTGAGCTGCTTTCCTCTTCCCTGTACACAAAAAGGATGAGTAAGGGGAACGCCACTGTCCTTCCAGGTATGCGACAGTGGTTAGAGAAGAGTTCTGGAGAAAGATCACCTCTGTGGTAAAGTTACCTAACCATCCTGTGCTTCAGTTTCCCTGCCTGTAAAACAGTGATTAAACCTATCTCTGCCTCATGGGATGATTGTGAAGATTACAATGAGTAATTTCATGTACAGCACTTAGAAGAAAGCCTGGCACGTAAAAAGCACTCACCAAATAATATCTGTTATCATAATCACTGTGCGTTCTTTGTAATTTGTTATCATGTGAAACAGAAGGCAAAATTTATAAATAATAAAATGACACTAATTTAGTTTTCTCATCCTTATTGGGTCAATAGAGTAATGCTGGGCACAGTACTGGGTCCAAAGTAAGTGCTCAATAAATATCTGTAACTGAATGAATAAGAATATAAAAAGAGGCTTGGCATGGTGGCTCATGCCTGTAATCCCAGCACTTTAGGAGGCTGAGGCAGGTGGATTCCTTGAGCCCAGGAGTTTGAGACCAGCCTTGGCAACATGGCAAAACCTTCTCTCTACTCATACACACACACAAAATTAGCCAGGCATGGTGGTACATGCCTGTAGTCCCAGCTACTTGTGGGGCTGAGGTCAGAGGATCACTTGAGCCCAGGAGGTTGAGGCAGCAGTGAGCTGAGATCGCACCACTGCACACCAGCCTGAGTGACAAAGTGAGACCCTGTCTCAAAAAAGAAAAAAAAAAAAGAATATAAAAAGAGATAAAAGGTAAGAGTATGTTACTTGTAACATCTGATTGAGGAACCAGCCATTCTACAAATAATGACCAGATAACCTATCTTTTTCCATGTTAAAAGTTAAAAAAAATTAATCATGTTTGATGAAAAGCTTATTGCAGTGGAAAGCATTTAACATGACAGTCTTTAAGTGGGCTACATAGACCTTTAAAAGAGTGTGAACCTAGCCTGGCATGGTGGTGCAGGCCCATAGTCCCAGCTACTTAGGAGGCTGAGGTGGGAGAATCACCTGAGCCTGGGAGGTTGAGGCTGCAGTGAGCCAAGATTGTGCCACTGCACTCCAGCATGGACAACCAGAGTGAGACCCTATCTCATTTAAAAAAAAAAAAAAAAAAGTGTGAACCATTAGGCACAGTGGCTCATGCTATAATCCCAGCACTTTGGGAGGCTGAGGCAGGAGGATCGCTTGAGGCCAGGAGCTGAAGATCACCTAGGGCTACACAGCTAGGCTGGGTTTCTTTACCAAAAAAAAATTTTAAATTAGCCAGGCTTGGTGGTACATGCCTGTAATCTTAGTTACTTGGGAGACTATGGCAGGAGGATCACTTGAGCCCAGGAGTTCAAGCTTACTGTAAGCTATGATCGAGCCACTGCACTCTGGCCTGGGTGACAGAGCAAGGCCCTTTCCTGTCTCTACAAAAGGCAAACAAAGTGTGAACCACCTAAAACTCACTGCAAATTTCACAGGTATGTGAGCATATGTGATTTTTTTTTTTTTTTGTAGAGAGTTTGTTTTATCAGAGGCTAACAGAAGTATGGGACTCCTAAAAAGTTTAAGAACCACTAGTTAGACAAAGCATTTAAACTGCTCCTGGTAATCTGTAGTCATTGAGAGTTATGCAGGGATGGAGTAGGGCAATGCCCTTGAAAGTTATCTGGATGTACAAGGCTTTCCTGTCCCTACATCAAGCAATACAAAGTAAACACTTACTAAATGGATTATCTCATTAATCCCTCAACACTCATCAAAGAAAGTACCATAACATTAAATCCATTATGCCCATTACAGACAAAGATAGTAATTCGGTCAGGGTCACGTAGCTACCAAGGAGTGAGGCCAAATATCCATCTGGCTATGTGGGCTCCGAGCTGGCTCTGCTATTATTTTGAGAAGCAGATTGAAACAAAAAGTAAATGGATTCTGAATGAGATTTCTTTAAGAAGAGCATGTTATCAAGCGAGGCATGGTGGCTCACACCTGTAATCCTAGCACTTTGGGAAGCCAAGGCAGGAGGATCGCTTGAGCTCAGGTGTTTGAGACCAGCCTGGGAAGAACAGTAAGACTTCGTTTCTACAAAAAATTTTAAAAATTAGCTGGGCATGGTGGCGCATGCCTGTAGTCCCAGCTGTCAGGTAGCTCAGATGGGAGGATCTCTCAAGCCCAGCAGGTTGAGGCTGCAGTGCTGTACTCCAGCCTGGGTGACAGAGCAAGACCCTGTCACACACACACACACACACACACACACACACACACACACACACAGAAAAAAAAAAAAAAAAAAGCATGTTATCTTGGGCTTATGGACATCAAGACATCAATTATGGCTCCTTAGAGACATTTCCCTCCTTTTTTCTAAGTTCTCCATTGTGCTCCACACAGTTGAAGTCATTGGATAAGTGATTTCTGGGTAAATCAGGTGATGTTATACTTACTTAATGCAATCAATGAAGGTTTCAAAGAACTGAATGCTTTTTGACTATCTTATTGAAACACGCTATTTCTAGGATTCCCTACAGTGACTGTTTCTGCAGTGACAACTCTAAATCCTATGGAATCATAGTTCTAGTCTTCGGGGACCAGGGCTCACCCCTGGAGATTCTGATTTGGTAGGTCTGGGTGAGGTTCAAATGGCTGACTTTATTTTTGAGACGGAGTCTTGTTCTCTTGCCCTGGCTGGAGTGCAGTGGCATGATCTCGGCTCACTGCAAGCTCTGCCTCCTGGGTTCAAGCAATTCTCTACCTCAGCCTCCTGAGTAGCTGGAGTTATAGGGGCCTGCCACCATGCCTGGCTAATTTTTGTATTTTTAGTAGAGATGGGGTTTCACCATCTTTTTCAGGCTGGTCTTGAACTCTTGACCTCGTGATCCACCTGACTCGGCCTCTCAAAGTGCTGGGATTACACTGCACCCAGCCAATGGCTGACTTTTTATAAAGCTCCACAGAAGATTTTGCTGCACAACAGGTCTGACATTCACTTAGTGAGTTTATATTTTCACATAATTCTTTTTAAGTGAGGCTGGCTTATATTTAATAACTTGAGAATGATTTAAGATAATGCACTTTTATAGCACTCACACAAGGGTAAATGCTAAATACTAACATGTTGTCTATCCACCTGATTTATACTAACTTTGCCTATCTTAACTTCTAACTCTGTTAGGCTGAACACTTAAAGAAGCACGCTCAATAGCACTAAAACCCTATCTGTTAGCATCTTATATACTCTGAGGCCATCTTGGCGGTGGGAGGCAATATTACATAGACATTAAAAGTGTGGGTTCTGAAATAGAATTGCCTCGGTCAAGGACGACCTTCACTCAAAGACTAGCTATGTGACCACAGGTCAGCTGATTTAACCTTGGTTCCTTAATAATCTCTTCTACAAAACTGAAATTAACAACAATATCTGTTGTATGAATTCATTGTGAGACTACATATATAAATTCTTTATAACATTTTGTGGCAGTAACCTTTCAACTAAGAACCCAGAATCATCTCAAAAGCTACCATTTAAATAATATTATATGCTTCCTTCAAGAAAGAAAGGGGTCTCATTAACAAATATGTGCACTAATTTCACCTGCCAAATCTCCAGACAGTGAAAGAACCTCTGGCTGTGGCTTGCAGGGGTAACACAACCCCTTGAAAGATGAGAGAAAATAGGAGAGTAACTTTAGAAAGACTTAGTGGCCTGGTAAGTAGACTTTATCCAAGACACAGCCATGGAGAATAATTTCTTCTTTTTCTTCTTCCTTTTTTTTTTTTTTTTTTTTTTTTGAGACAGTCTTGCTCTGTCATTCAGGCCAGAGTGCAGTGGCTCACTGCAGATTCCACCTCCCAAACTCAAGCCATCCTCCCACTTCAGCCTCCCGCGTAGCTGGGACTACAAGAGCACGCCACCACATCAGACTGATTTTTGTATTTTTTGTAGATATGGGGTTTTGCGATGTTGCCCAGGCTGCTCTGGAATTCCTGAGCTCAAACCATGCTTCTGCCTTAGCCTTCCAGAGTGCTGGGATTATAGGCATAAGCCACTGCGCGCAACTAAGAATAATTTCTGCAGAAAACAAACTTGTTGCTCCCATTAATGATAGGGAGATGGAGCTATTAGGAGTGTGTGGAGGAGAAAAAAGAGACTCCTACTATAATGCCTATCATCTTACTAGAACTTCATGCTGACATAGCCAAATTCTGAACTCTCACATAGAATTTAGATACATGTAACATTTGATTCTTCATTCAAAGATTCTACAAACACTATAATTTTTTTCTTTCAATCACTCATTGAAAAATCTTGCCTTTGCCTCATGGTGAGTGTGTGGGTCACCTTGTTTGCTTGATACTGCACAATATGTGGGGTCAGGGCTGGCCCCAGTTTGACATAGGCCCCTCTGTTGCTGCCAACTTCATAGTAGTTGGAGGCAGAAAAGATGGTTAATACCTACATCAAAACAGAAGAGAGACAGGCATTCACATTCACTGAAGAAACTTTCACCCTCAATCCTATGTGGCCCAATGCAACTGCAGAGGCTGCTGTTTCTCCTAGTGCTCATCTGGGAATCAATCCCTTCCTTCCTTCCTTCCTTCCTTCCTTCCTTCCTTCCTTCCTTCCTTCCTTCCTTCCTTCTTTCATTCCTTCCTTCCTTCCTAAGTCATCAATGCTAATAGGGCAAGAGTTATGACTGAAGTCATAGAAATTTGAATTCTGATAGTTTCACAATGTATCTTCTTCACATTTTTATCTCAAGTGAAAATAGCGGGGGTCATAGAAAACACCGCATTTGTTTCAACTTAGAGGCGAAGCTGGGTCTGATAAACCAGGATGGCCACTACAAAAAGCAGGAAGCTCAGATCTGAGAGCTGATGTGGTGCCTTAAAGCAGTTTCCTGCGGACTGTTGTGGCTCCTCAGATGCTCTATGAAAAAAGTTTTCACAGTCACTACGTTGGGAAATGCTAGATACTGTATCTCTTCCTGAAGATTTGCAGTGAAAATAGGAAGCTAAGGCCAGACACAGTGGCCCACGCCTGTAATCCCAGAACTTTGGGAGGCCGAGGCGGGCAGATCACGAGGTCAGAAAATCGAGACCATCCTGGCTAACACGGTGAAACTCTGTCTCTACTAAAAATACAAAAATTAGTTGGGCATGGTGGTGCACGCCTGCAGTCCCAGCTACTCTAGAGGCTGATGCAGGAGAATCGCTTGAGCCCAGAAGGTTGCAGTGAGCCAAGATTGCACCACTGCACCCCAGTCTGGGCAACAGAGAGACTCTGTCTCAACAAAAAAAAAGAGAGGAAACTAAAGGTTTTCAGAAGTCTATAATAAAGAAACTTGTATGGCCTAGTGGTATTAGGCGAGACAAATATTGTAGGATTTGGAGTTGTCCAAAGATTAGTCAGAATATCACTTGTGCTCCTGAGAAGACAAATAATCCTAAATCCCTGCCTGGGGAACAGTGGAGAAATCCAGTTACCCTGTGGGCTTTTTTGAGCCATGTGACAGCGAGCCTTGTGACCTGAAGAATAGAGGTGTGGCTGGGAAAACACTGGCCTCGGATTTCCATTCATAAAATAGGACCGTGTCACTCCAGGTATTGGTGGACAGTGGCCTCAATCAAACTTTGGGTTTCAAAGAGGCTATAAGGGTCAAGGATCAATGACTATAAAGGACCTAGTTCCTTTGAGCAAGTGGGTAACAAATACAAGGTCTGTAGGTTGTTAGGAACTGAGAGGCTTTGCTCATCCAGGTCTGAGCCCTTTGGACTACTTTGGTGACACACACGCCTGTGCTGCCACAGAGGGAGCACCCACCTTGCGGTTGTGACAGAATTCATAGCCTTCGGGTTTGCATTCGTGTGAACGGATCAGGAATTGCAGCTTGTATTTTTGTAGCAACTGTTCTGTCACATCAGGCCCAAAATAACAGCCTCCTCCTCGAATGGTGTTGGCCTTGCAGCCCTCTTGAGCCATGGGATCACTCCACAGGATGTCTACAACCTGAGAATACTAAGAGATGATTTCCTTCCCAAACACTAGATGGATATTCATCCACAGTCATTCAAATGAAAGGAAGAGGAGGCGGAGGAGGAAAATATTTGAATAAGTGAATAAATGTCCATGCAAGCAATATTTGACATACATTTATATTCTAGACATCTAAGGTTCTAGAATTTTTTATTACTCACAAAATGAATGTGTGCATGTGTATATATTAGTTGACAAGTATATGCCCACTTTCTGAAAATAAATCTGATATGAAAGCTCAATATGTAAAACAAATGAAGTTGCCTGGTAGAAGCTTTGATCACGGCCAGTAGTTTTCAGTCAGTGCCAGTGCTCCAGGCTCCTGGACGTTTGCCCTAAACAGAAGCCACAAGTCCTGGGACTGGCAAGAGAGTCTCCTGCATATTCACAAACCCCTAGATATGATCCTGGGAAAGTGCAATCGGCATTTTATTTCTTAAAGTACTTTAAGAATTTTTTTTTAACAAATTGCAGAAGAGGCCAGGCCTGATGGCTCATATCTGTAATCCCAGCACTTTGGGAGGCTGAGGTAGGTGGATCATTTGAGGTTGGGAGTTCAAGACCAGCCTGGCCAATGTGTGAAACCTCGTCTTTACTAAAAATACAAAAAAATGGGTGTGATGGTGCACACCTGTAATCCCAACTACTTGGGAGGCTGAGGCAGGAGAATCACTTGAAACCAGGAGACAGAAGTTTCAGTGAGCCGAGATCACACCATGGCACTCCAGCCTGGGCAACAGAGCAAGACTCCGCCTCAAAAAATAAATAAATAATTGCAGAAGAGCTGAGCAATTTTTCCAGCACTTCAGATTCCACCCTATTAATACAAAATTAGCCGGGTGTGGTAGTGCTTGCCTGTAATCCCAGCTACTCAGGAGGCTGAGTGAGGCAGGAGAATCACTTGAACCCCGGAGGCGGAGATTGCAGTGAGCCGAGATCACGCCGTTGCCCTCCAGCCTGGGCAAGAAGAGTGAAACTCCATCTCAAAAAAAAAAAAAACAAAAAACCTAAAACATATGAGTCATTAAGCAAATACTAGTGTCCTTCTGGGGTGTTGAAACCCCAAACAGAGAGAGAAAGAGGGGCCTCAAAACATACCCTGAGTTTCCTGGGAAGGAGGAGGTTTAACCTGTTGGCAGCCACGTGCGGGGTAGCAGCAGTCGGCCACGCTCACCTGCCTCCACTCCTCCTGAGTGGGCTTCCGCAGCTCTCCAGTGTCAGAGTCTGTTTCCGAGGCCGAGCACGAGGGCTCCTCTTTCTCCTCGGTCACCAGGAGGCCTGCTTGCTGCCGGCACCGCTCCAGCTCCAGTTCCACGGAGCTCCGCACCCGCTGGGAGAGCTCCCGCCCATCCAGGGAACCGCCAGAGGGGATGCTGGAGGATCTGCTGCTTTTGTGAGCCTTGTAGGGGCCGAGGCGAAGGGGCGAAGAGGGAAGAGAGCGGCTTTGGGGGAGAAACCATGGGATGGGTCCCTGTGCAGAGCTCTTCTGGTTGGCTATTCTCTGCTCCTCCATCTGATTCTCACTCTTCTGTCTCGTTTTGCACCTCATGATGGAAACTATCTAAACATGTCCAGAAAGAGAGACAGATGCTGGAATGAAACTGTAGGCTCAGACAGTTGTGGTGGTTCACTCCTGTAATCCTAGAACTTTGTGAGACAGTCCAGTGAATCACTGAAGCGCAGGAGTTCAAGACCAACCTAAGCAACATGGCAAGACCCTGTCTCTACAAAAAATATCAAAAAAGGAGGTGGTCATGGCGGCACATGCCTGTAGTCCCAGCTACTAGGAGGGCTGAGGCAGGAGGTTCACTTAAGCCTAGAAGGTCAAAGCTGCAGAAAACAGAGATCGAACCATTGCACTCTAGCCTGGATGACAGAGGGAGATCCTGAGAAGAAGGAAGGAGGGAAGGAAGGAAGGAAGAGAAAGAAAGGAAAGAGAAAGGGAGAGAGGAAGGAAGGAAGAAGAAAGAAAGAGAAAGAAAGAAAAAGAAGAAAGAAAGAAGAAGGGAGGGA